CGAAAATTCAAAAATTATATCTATTTTAAAATAAATTTCTATAAACTCTTAAGTAAAAGAATTTAATGACTGTAAGTTTGTTAGAAATAGCATTGATTTAATTAATTAATATAAGAAATTTTAAGAAAACTGTCAATTATTTAAATTCATTGTTATGGATTTTTAATAGGAAGAATAAGATTAAGCAAATGAAATTCTCAATGCTACAAAAATGATTAGAAAATGGGAAGAAAGAAATTAAGTCCCGAAAACTTATCTTGTTGGAGTATTTTTTTATTTATTTTTTTCATATTTTTGTAAATAGTTTTATTTTTGTAAATATAGATTTATAACCCTTTAAATCAACAAAGTTATAAAAATTAATTAGATATAATTGATTTGTGGTTGTGTAAAGATTAAAATATATTAAGTATTTTAGCAGGTATTAATAAAAATTATAATAAAGAATAATGATTTTATGAGAAACAATGTCTAATATGTAAAAGTTATTGATATTGTAAAATATATATTATTTATAAAATAAAATTATATATAATTTATAATAAATAAAACTAATTATTTTTATGATTAAAAATTTGTAAAAAAATAATTTAATCATATTATTTTTACTTATATAATAATATTAACATTAAAAAATAAAATGTAATTTGGTTTTATTATATGTTTATATTTATTAAAGGTTGATATTTTCATTAAAATATAAAATCATTACTATTTTAATCTACAGCATTTAAATTATTGTCTTTATTTTAATTTTTTGTTTTAATAATTTTATAAAAATAATGTTTTATCAAACTAAAATTTTTGTATTATAATGTTTTAACATTAAAGATTATTAAGAATAAATATATATTCATGAATAAAATTCATTTTAAACAATTTATATAAATTGTTTTTTTAAATATGTTTATAGTTTTTTTAAAAATTAATATTTTAATAAATTTTTATAAATATACATTATATCAATATTATTTATATTTTGTTTATTTATTTTTAATAAAATCCAATAGATTTTTTTATTTATTTTCTTATTTATTTTTAATATCATTAATCCTATTTTAAATATTATCATACTTAAACTAAAAGCTGTTAGTTAAGTTTTTAATTTAGTTTTAATTTTAAATAGGATTTTTTAAAGGACTTTAAGAATTTAACATGCTTTTAGTATTTATTTTAGAATTGCTATTAATAATTATTGAATTAACATTATTATAAGAATTATTTTTTTAAATATTCAATATATTATTATTAGTTTTGCCATATTTATCTAATAAAACAACTTATTTTTTATTTTGAAATTGGCTTTCTTTTTTAAAGAAGCTATTTTGATTTAGATAAGTAGATCCTTTATTCCAATTAATTTAGTGGTTATTATCATACTAGTCATCATCATCATAATCTAATTCATGTAAAACTTATCTATTTTTTTCACTACTTTGCTAACTATTTAGTTTTTCAAAATCTCTTCTTTTCTCACTTTCATCTCCTAAAAAACCATATTATTATTCGTTATTAAGTTTTTATTTAATAACTTATATATCATCGATTCCCATTTAATCATAAAGATATTCCATTTTATCAAAGCTGGTTAAAAGTAATTCATTGTTATAAAAAAGCATAACTGAAATTTTCTCTAAACAGTTTAAAAAATCCGTAAAGTACATTTCTTTATTACTTCTTTTTGAAACACTTTTACTAAATATTGAATTGAGTATATTAATATCTAAGTTATCATTTTTTAAATTAAATTAATTTGTAAACTATATAAACTATTATTAATTTAAAGAAAATGCAATTTTTTATTTTTTATCTTTTATTTAACGCCCACCCAAAAAAATGTTATTTTAATTTATTTATGATGTTAATGGTTTGTTTTTTTTTGCGTAAAAATTAAATATATACCGAAGATTCTTTTATCTTTTTTCCCTATTGTCAAGTACATTTTTGAACATAACTGAGGGTTTAATATCTTAATAAATATATTATTATGGAGTTTATATCGTTTATTAATGTTATTTGAGTTCTGTCTTTACTACATCCATCATTTCTTGCATTATCTGCTTATCTCTTTCTGTTATTAATTGCATATCAATTGCATTTTTATTGAGAAGTAGCTACATATATTCATTTACTTAACTAGATTCTGTAAAATATACTTAAGGACTTTAATAATTATTTTAAATAGTAGTAGAATCATCATTAGCTTATATATTTTTATAATTCTCATCAATTTTATGATTTTTTTATAATTCTTCACTTACAAATTTAATCGCCCTTTGTTTTTCAATATTTTTTAAGGTCAAATGATTTTATTCTTAAAATTTTAAAGTCTCTTCTTATAATAAAGGAGGCATACAACCTGCAGGCTCTTTTTTAAAAAAAATAACTGTTTTTTCTTTTGCAAAACCTTCACTTAAAGAAAAAAATCGAGTATAATTTTTTAATAGTCTTTTCGCTTCATTTAATTAAAAGTCATATTTTTAAAACCTTTTTTATAATAAGCTTTCTCGTGTATCTTAAATTTAACTGATTTTTTTAAAATGAAAATCGAACTTTTAATATTCAAATTAATTTAAAATACCTGTTTTTTTATTGTAATATCTTACTAATTCTTCTCCTTTATCAGCTATAAGTTTAAGACTATTTACAAGGTATTTAATTTCTTATTCTTTTAAAAAAAAAGGTATTTCTAGACAAATTTATCCAAAAACCGCTTCAGGTGAGCTTTCTTCAACCTTTCCAATAATATTTTTAGGAAGATTGTTTATTTTAATTCCATTTTATAGTTGTGCATTATATTTGACAGAAACAAGAATTCCAAATAAATCATGTAAAATCTAACAAACGAAATCCGGAGAAAGGTACATTTTATTGTTTTGATCTATATATTCACTTTTTTATACATAAATATTAAAATGAAATTTCGCATATTAAAATTTTGAATCATTTTCAGATCCCCAAATATTAATATTTTTCAAACTTCCTTATAGTTCTTTATTAATTTATTTTATTTCTTTCATAAAGATTTCCACTTTTTCATTTTCTTCCTTTCTTAGAAATTCTTAATTCATACTTTCTATTAATTATATACTTAATAAACTTCTATATATTTTGGAATAATCATAATTATTTTCTAAATATTTTAATAGTTTAACACTTTTATTATTTTCCTTTCTATTTGTTAATATTTCTTAACTACTTTCTTTCTTACAAATTAACATATTTGTACTTTATGCTCCACCTATATAATTGCATGTATTCAGAACTATAAAGTCTATATTTAAATGTGAAAAGTCAACTTTTTCGTGTAAAACTAATTATGTAATATCCAAACAAATATAAATTTTTATATTTTTGTTTTCCAAAAGAGCCAATTTGTTTCTAAGTCCTACTACAGTATCTATAATTTATTTAAAATTAACGATTTTTTATTATGTAATTTGAGAAACTGAACAAAAAGAGACAATATGAGTATTATAATTGGTTTAAGATTTAATTTTTTGTATTAATTATTGAAAATCAAGCTCTCCGTTTTTATTTATTTAAATATTATGAATTTAAAAAATTTGTCCTAAAATCCAAGGAAAAACATTAAAATAACTTTCACTTTAAGAAACATAAACTTAAATATTTTTTTCTTCGAAAAAATTGCTTAATTTAATATATGGATCTATTTCGTTTTAACCACATTCTTCTATATAATATTCACTTTGAGAAATATTCAAAAACTATAAAATATAGTTGTGTGAATATTATACTAAGTTTTTTATGAAATTTCCAGAATATGTAGTCTCTTAATTTTATAAATTACAATATTGCTTTATTTTATTTATACAATCTTCTATTTGTTTAAACTAACGACTATTTGTATAAATTTCGCATGGAAGTGTACACAATTAACCAAATGGAGTGTCAATTCGGATTGCATATCCTATAATATTTTCTATGTATTCTTCTATATTCATAATTTTTTTTAAAAAAAATTAAACTTTGATTTTAATATATTGTATATATTTTTTTTTTTAATAAAAAATTAAAATTGTGTTGTTTATTTTTATTTTAAGTTTTATTTTTTTATTTTTAAATAAAAAAAAAATAGTTTATTTTTAATTTTTTTTTATTTATAAAACAATATATAATTTATTTTTTTACATATAGAAATATTTAAATATAAACTGAAAGTTTATTATTCAGGTAGAATATAAACAAAAAGTTAATTATTATAAAATATTATTTTTTTAATATTTATTTATTTTAAGTTAATATTAATTTTAGATTGAATTTAATATCTTAATCTTTATTTTATATAATTAATTTTTAAATTTCAACTATTATAATTTTTTACAAATAATAATAAAATAATTATCAATAATTATCTAATTTTTTTAATTTTATATAAAATAATAAATATATTAATTATTTTTTATCATTTTAACAAAAATAATCTTATGTTTAATAACTCTGTGCGTTTTTCCAATATAGTATAGTTCTTTTAATAATTTAAGATTTATTAAAAATAAACAGTATTTTAAATTAAAAATATATTAAAACAAAGATGACACAATTCCATAATTATAAAAGCACAATTTTCCTTTAAAATAAAATCATTTATTTAAAGTAAATAATGAATTTTATTTGATTGATTAGCTATTTAATATCTATTATTTTTTGAATTTATTTTTTATTTTTAATTTTAATTAAATTTTTATATTTATATAATAAGTATTATTATATAAATCTTTATGTATAATACAAAAACCTTTAAAACTTAATATTTAGTTAAAATATTATATAAAATATATAAAAATCATTATTCATATATTTAATTTATAATATAATTTTTTTTTTGATTTAATTTTTTTAAATAATAAATAATTTATATATTAGATATATCAAATATATCTTCAAATTTTAATTTTATTTATTAATTAAAAATTATAATAGAAGATTTTCTAATTATCTAGATAAAAAAATATCCAATTTCATACGGATTATATATAAAGTAAACAATTAAACAAATATAAATTTTTATAAGTTAAAAGCTTATTTTATAAAGCTTTTATTAATGTGAATTCAAAATTAAACATCAAAAATTTCCTTTATTTTTATATTTAAAGGATGATTAGAATCATTTTCATTTATTTCTGATTAAATATTATTTAAGTTAATATTTTATTAGCCTTCATTAATTTATAAGTTTTAGAGTTAATCATCTTTATTAATTTGAGAATTATTGATTATTTCATATTTCTAAAGTGAATGATTAATTTATTAATTATCTATACTTTGGTTGTCTTTATTATTATCATCAAATAAATTTTATAAATTAGATTAATTATTATAATCACTAAATTCAATTTATTCAAGATTTCCTTCCATAATTTATTAAAATTCTTCTAGATTTATATTATATTAATTTAAAGTTATATCTTTTACCCATTTTATAACATCGGAATTGGTTTACCTCTATTTATTATAAATTATAATACAATCATTATACATTTAAAGATTTATTTTCCTTAGATTATTATTCCATACTCCTTTCCAATCATCTTTTTCTCTCAAAAAAAACTTTTAATACATTGCTGAAATTCTGTTAATTCCCAATTAAATAGCATTTTCAATTCCCGTAATTATACCCAACATAATTTAGAAAACTTACATTTCTGATAAATGATAAAGAGTATAATTATAGAGGTAATTTGTTATTTTATTTAAGCAACTACTTGCTTTCTTTTTTCCATCTTTACCGATTTCGGTCAAAGGATCAATTTAAGCCATCATAACTTACTTCATATCTTCAAAAAGACTACTTAGAAAATCTTCAAGCTTATTATAATATATTTAAAGAGCTTTTAAACCCTATTCGTTAGTTGTATTGACTTATCCCCATCCACTATCAATTGCATAAAACTTTTCAAAATCAATATTAAGATTATTAATATCTTTTAACTATTCAGTTTTGGTTAAAAAATTTGTCATCATTTTCACTATTATATTTGCTGCATTTCCATCTCCATCCCAGATTAAAGGATACCTTTATAATATATATTTCTAAATAAAATAATTATTTTATATATATATTTTATATTATATATATATATATATATATATATATATATATATTTATTAATATATTTTGCAAACAAATACCTGTCTGAGTTATTTATTAGTGTATCAAAAGCCAAAATCATTCCTAATCTGATTAGTCTATCTCTTGATTCAGGTGTTATATGATCAAAAATTAATGCTGCTCTATGAGGACCCATTTATTCTACAGATATTCCTGGAATATATTCCATTACTTAAAGGAATGGCATATCTAGTCTAGAACTAACCTTCATATTTTAATTTTTATTTTTTTAATTAAAAACTATTTACTCTTCGCCCTAAAACTTCATCACAAAAAGTTGCTCTTTGCAAATTATGTAAAATTAAATCAAACTCTTAATCATAATAACGCACTATTCTCAAAGTTGGAACATTCACATTCATAACTCTAGCTAATTTATACAAGAAAAAATCTATAGCCATATCTGATGAGCCTTTTACTACTATAGCTCCTTCATCAGATTCTACAAATATTACACCTTAAGTACCTGATTAACTTATTGCTACAGCTCTTATTTCTTCCCAATTAAATTTTCTTATATTTTTAATTGGAAGTGTTGCAAAATTAAATTCTTTTAATTTTATATCAGGCTCAATTTAAGAACAATTTTAAAATTCTTTGTTTGGGCCAGGACGTTAATGTGGGTATGGCTTATATGTTGGTTTCCTTTGTTAATCTTAAATTTGATATCTTTATTTAGTGTATTCTTCGATATTAATATGATTTTTACCTTTCATTTTTTTTTATTATTATTTAGTTTTTATAAGAATAATTATAATTTTTATTATTTATATGTTTTTAATTAGTTTTAAAAAGAAGTTAATTAATTATAAAGAACTTTTTATTAATTAGTTTAAGGTAAATAATTTTAAGGCGAGGTTTGTAAATAATTTTAAATAGTTTTTTAATTTAACATTAAATTTTACATAAATATATAATTTAACTTTTATATGACTCGTATTATATTTAATCATATATTGTTTGTTTATATTTTTATTTTTCATTTTTTTTTTAAAAAAAATCTCATTATTTATTTTTTCTAGCTTTTTGCTGTTGTTAATTAAGTTTATTAAAAAAATTACAGAAAATATAAAAAAAAAAACTATATGAAAATTTATTTAAATTAATTAATTATCAACTTTTTATACTATTTTTTTTATATATTACTTATTATCTTAATTGATTATATTAATAATTTAAAAAATAAAGAAAATTAAAAACAAAATTAAAAAATTAAATAAAATTATATAAAATAAAATATAATAAAAATTTCAAAATAAATATAAAAACAAAATAAATAAAAGATAAATATATATTAAAAATAAAAATAAAAAAATGAACAATTTAATTAAATTATAATCTAAATTCCCTTCTGTTGTATTAACTTCAATCTAAGCTATTGAAGGAACATGTGGAGGAACTATTTAAAAATATAATACTGAGGAATTATTTAAAAATAAAAGAGTTGTATTATTTAGTGTACCTGGTGCTTTTACTCCAACTTGCTCAGCTCAACATGTTCCTGGATTTTTGAAATTAGCTAATGATTTCAAAACTTAAAAAAATGTCTAATTAATTGTTTGCGTATCAGTTAACGATGTCTATGTTATGGATGCTTGGAGATAAAATTAAGGTATCAAAAACAATGAAATATTAATGCTTTCAGATCCGAATGGTTAACTTGCTTAATAAACTGGATTAACTTTAGATTTAATTGATAAAGGTTTAGGACTTAGAATGAAAAGAGCAGCATTTTTAATAGATGATGGTATAGTTAAACATTTTGCAGTTGACGAAGGTAAATTCCATGATACTAGCGCAGAAGAAGTTTTCAAAGCTATCTGAAGAACAAATATTAAATATTATAAAAAATAATATATATTATATATTTATTAGTAAATTTATTAAATGATATTTTTTAATTTTTATATTAAAATTATTTTAAATAAAATAAAAATAAAAATTTTAGTTTAAAGTCTACTTTTTAATTTTTTGTTGTTGTTTTTTCTTTTTTTTCAATTATATTTATTTTATTATTGTTTTTGTATATTACAAAATTTCTTTTATTCTTTTAAATCAAATTAAATGTGAATAATTAATTAATTTGGTAGAACTTTTTATTAAGCTAAATAAATATTCTGATTATATAGGCTTCTATAAAAGAGTCATCAATTCCGTTTTTAATATCTTTATTAATTTCAGGATTATTTTAATTTAAAATGAATGTAAAAACAAAAATTAATATAATAAAAAGTGACTATTATAATAGATTTATTAATATATCATTCATCATTTATATAAAATTTGATTTTAGAAAAATAATTTAATAACCATTCTTGATATACATGTTTAAATCCATAAAAATTAATAGATTTTTACTCTCTATTTTTTTTTTTTTTTAAATAAAATAATTAAAATAGCATCTTTTCAACTCTTTTTAATATAATTACATTAAATCATTTATATTTTACAAATAAGAACTATGAAATAAATATTATTTAAAATTCATTTATTTAGGGATTTTATCGAATATAAACAAGATTGCTAGCTATTCATATATTATCTTTCTTAAAATTTTCTTGATTTAAAAATTAAATTAGTGTTAGAGTTTAATTAATTCATATTACTTAATTGATTATCTAAATAACTGTTTTTATTCTAAGTAGAAATGGTTTTCATTGCAAGAGTAAATTATAATTATTTCTTATTCATTTTTAGATATACTTATGCATATTTTTTTGTATATAACGATTCCATTTAAATTGTCAGAGTTCGCTAACTTCTTAAATATTCATTATATTTTAAGTGCATTAAATAAAAGGATTTGTTAATTATAATTTTAATTATTTAATATTTTTTTCGGTTATTCCTTTATCTTCCTCAATTGCATATTAATTGTTTACATGTTTTGTAATTCCTGAGCTTGTAGAACTATATACAAATATTATAACATATTTTTTTTTCGATAACTTTTTATACATTTTATATTATCTTATATTAATTACATGTCTCTAATTATGTACTATTGGCATCTAATATTTTATTGATTTCAAATTATATTTCTTTTTTAAGATTTTTAATCGTGTATTAAGTATTTTTTTATATTTGCATATAATAATTCATTTTTAAATGGTAACCATAATATCTTTCTTTCCATCTGCATAGATTAATCTACCTATTTCGTCTGCCATATATTTATTCCCAGTAGCCTTCATATTAAGAACTATTACTCCATATAACTGTTTTCCCCTTGCAGATCGCTTTTTATTTTTCCATTAACCTATGTAATATACTCCATTTTCCAACTCTAAAGGTATATAAAAAGGAAATACGGGTACATAAAGAGGCAAAATTTAATTTTTTTCATTAATCATATATAAATTTTAAATGTTTTTATAAAACTCTTTTTAGTTGGGAATAAATTATTTTTATAAAGATAAGGTAAAAAAGATAAAATTTTACTATAATCATAATTATTTTGAACAAAAACTCTAGTTTTGTTAATTTTTTTTAAATGAAATTGGAATATGGAAATTTCCATTTTTTTATTAAAATGATTCATTGGATAAGTCAAAAAAAATTAATCATGAAATTATTTTATTTGTTTTTTTTTCATTATAAAAATTATTGATTTTGCATGGGCTTATTATTTAGATTTTAATTTCAGTGTTACTCTCTATTTTGTTTTTCTGGACTAAAATTATCCTAATTTTTTATTTACTTTTGAAATTAAATGCATTATTTTTATTTATTAGTTACAAATTTATTAATTAAAGAATATTTATAAATATTATATATAAATTATGTAGATTTATTAAAATTAATAAATTAAAATATTAATATTTAATAAAATGTAATTATTTAATTTACAATATTTTTATTTGAAATAAATTAGTTTGTTCAACTTCTTTAATTTGCATTATCTGACATTTTAGTAGAAGCATTGCTTTTATTATCTCTTTATTATTATTGATAATTACTTTAAATAAAAAGATTAAAAAATCTATTATATTAATTATTATTGTTTAATTATTGATTTTATAATTATTATTATTGAATAGGATATAAATTGTTTTATTATTATCTTTAATTTTAAAAATTTATAATCTATTATTATCTTTATTCCCTCACTAATTTATCCATAGCTTATTTTTTTAGAATAACTTTTTTTTTCGAATTATATTTATTTAAAAAGAACTTAATTAATTTAATAAGATAAAATAAAATGATTATATTTCCAAAAACAAGACATACAATAATATTTTAATTTTACTATTTATAAATTGAAAGTAAAAATGAAATTACATTAATATTATTTCCTTAAAGACAATCATTTTTAAGTAAAAATTCCAAATGTTTAATTTATTTATTTTCAATCTAAATAAAAATGCTTATATTAATTCCGATAGAAAACAAATAACAAATTCCTTGGATAGGAATGGTGTACATATTTCTATTTTTTTTTACACATCTTTTTATAGAAATTGCATAGAAAAATATAAATATGGCTAAAAAATGAGGAATTAATAAATTTTCAGTTAAAATAAATAACATATATTAATACTAATCTTATAATAAAAACTCTCTGATTTATTGACTTCTGCAATATAATCTAAATAAAATAAATTATTTTTTATATAATTTATAATAATTTAGATTATTTTGATTATAAAATGGTAAATTTTCAAACCAAGATCTTTATTTGTTTAATATTAAAGCATCTTACTTTTATATTTCATTTATTTAAATTTCTTCGTATAAATAATCGTTTAAATTTAGACTGTTTACAGTTTCTTATTCTAATTCATATTTATAAATTTCACAGTTTTTATTATTTTAACATTAATAATTTCCCTCATAAACTTAAATAGCAGAAATAGGGTATTTGTTATTTTCTCTTTTAATTACTAATTAATATTCTTCTAAATTAGGAATATCATAATATTCTGAATTATCTTATTTTTAACTCTTTTTGAATATTCCAAAATATGTTATAGGACATTCATTTTTTGCTATTTTTATCTTCTTTGTAATTCCGAATATATTATAAGTATTATTTTAATAATCACATGGATTATCCTTTAAATTATGTTCTTAATTAAAAGAATACTATTAAAATAATGTTATATTTAAATAACTTGCACAAATTTTTATTGGAATTAAATCTTTTTATTATTCGACTTTTAAACCCCAAATATTTAAATTTAACTCACTTTTTTGATTAATTTATTACTCTTAGTTACATATTTTTTATTTATTAATTGTATTACATTATTGACGGATTATATATTCATTATTACATAAGCATCCTTCTCGCTTTTTTTTGTAATTTTAAATAAAAATCGCTTTTTTTAAAAAAAAATATTACTATTGATGATACTTTAATATTTATTATATTTTCCATGTTATATTATTCACATTTATCGTTCTAATTTATTAATTTGATACTTTTTAAAGGCTAACTTAAAATACTTTCTTGTAGTTCTAAGAAATACTATTAGTATTAAGGAAAATTTACAATAGGAATTAGGAAGAAAAAAAAAGTTGTTAAAAAGTAAAAAAAAATACTATTGTATGCCAATTTAGCTTTTAGCATTTTTGTTATATCCATTCCATTTGAAAATTTAATTCTAATTCTAATTTTTATATTTTTATATTTATATAATTTTTTTAACTTTAAAAAATATATTAATTTTATGTTTATATTATTTTTTATATATAAAAAATATAATGTAAATTTATAAATATTTTAAAAGAGATTTTCATATTATTTATTTAAATATTTATAAAAGATTTAAATTTAATTATTAAAATTAAATATAAAAAAACAAATATTTAAATACTAATTTAAATAATATTTATATATAAATAATTTTAATATCAGAAATTTTTTTAAAAAAACATTCAATAAATATAAAAATAAAAATAGATATAATTTAAAACACTATTTTTTAATTTATTAAAAAATAAAATTAAGAAAAAAAAAAAAAAAAGTCCTCTAAATAATTATATTTTTAAATTAATAAATTATTTATTATATTAAATTATAATATGAAAATAAAAATCATATATAAGCTATAATTCAATTCCAAAAAGAATAAATTTAAATTAAATTTTATTAAAATTAATAATTTAACTCATTTTTAAATGCCTATTAAATAGTATGAAATTGAAAATAAGAACTTAGTGAAAAATATTCAGAAAATCCAAAATATAATTTGATGTATATTTAATCGAAAAAATGAGTATTATAATTTTTATTATCATATATATTTTTATTTTTTAAAGGATTAAAAATTTAATTTAAAAATTCAAATCAACCTTTAGATTTTAAATATAAAAAAACAATTAAAATACTATTTTATTTAGGTTTAATATTGTCAATTCAATATTTTTTTTATAAAAAACATATTTTTCTAAATTTCAATAAAAGGACAAATATTATTTTTCATAATTATAATTAATTTTTTTTATAATATTTTTAATTTTTATATTAAAAGTAAAAATATTTTATAATATTTAAAGTGAAATATTAAAATAAAATAAATATATTAAGAAAAAAAAAATGAATAATAAATATATTTTTAATAAATATAATTTTGTTAAAAAATTATTATGAATAAATGAAATTAAACAAGGTAAAATAAAATATTATTATTTTTTAAATAAAAATATTATATTATATATTTATAATTTTAAAAATTTAAAGTTAATTATTTATATATAAAAAAATAAATATATTTGTTTTAATTATTTAATATTTTATATAAATATAAATAATATAAAAATATCTATTAATAATAAAATATAATTATATAACTTATATATAATCATAATTAATATTTATAATATCTTTAATTTTTTTATTTTTATTTTTTTTAATATTTTTTTATTATAAAAACAGTTTTAATTTAATATATATTATATAAATCTTTTTTATAAAAGAATATTATTTATTACCGAATACATTATTTTTAAATAATCATTAAATATTATTTTTCTAAATTTCACTTTCTTATTTCTAGAGGGTGGGATAGCAATAATATATTTTATTTTTTTTGAATATAATAGTATTTTTTTTTTTTATTCTGAAAATTATATTATTTTTTGTTAAGGTTATTTGATTTGTATTTTATTTTTTATGTTGAATGTATTATTTTATTTTAAATTATTTAAATAATGAAAATGAAAAATATAGTTAATTAAGTATACTTGTTATATAATAGATTTTTTATTTATTTATTTTCATTATTTAGATATTCATCTATAGTTTTTTGATTTTTATTAAAATATTAAAAGTATACAAAAGTAATTTAATATATATTAATTTAGTCAATATTTAATAATATTATATATTTTTATAATAAATAAAAAATATTTTTATTTAAAAAAAAATTAACATCAAATAAAATTATTTTTTAAGTATTATTATTATATTTATTATAAATTTTATTTATTTTATATATAAATGTAAAGAATAAATAATTATTATAAAAATGTTAAGCATAATTATAAATTTAATATTTATTTATAAAATATTAATTTAGTTATTTTTTATTTTAAAAATTAAATAAATTAATAATGAAATTCAAAAATATAAACAATTAAGTAATTAGTATTATAATTATAAATAAAAATCTTAAAACAAAGAATTATATTTTTAAATATTTATAATATTTTTTTAATATTTAATAAATTTTTAATTAAAATTATATTGCTATAATTATTTATGCAAACTATTAATAAATATATATATATATATTCAATTATCTTCAGACTGAAAAAAAATTATATTTTGTATTTTATTAAAGAATATAAAAAAAAAACATAAATAAAATTATATTTTTTTACCACATAACATAATAAATTAATAATAAATAAAAATACGAATTGATATATTAAAAAAATAAAGATTTAAATATAAATAAGTAGATTTTTTAAAATAATAATGTTTTAAAAATAAAAAACTTTTAAATATATTATCCAAGAAATTAAAATAATTTTTTTTTTTTATTAATTTAAATATAAAATTATAAAAACATTTTTAAAAAAAAATAATATATATATATATATATTTTATTAATTCTAATTTATTTTTTACATATTTATAATAAAATATTAAACATACTACTAAAATAAAATTGCTATAAGATTTATATTTTTAATTATAATTTATAGATTATAGAAAATATTTGTTATATTAACTCATATTTTAAATAGAATTTTAATTTATTTTTCTTTATATGTAAGTTTTGCTTTAGGAAAATATTAATTTATTACTGTTCTTTTTACAATAAAAAGTAATAAATATTTACTAATAATAAAATATATTATTTTTTTAAATATTATTCTTATTTATTATCTTTTTTTTTAT